AGTAGTAGTGGTAGTAGTCGTCGTGGTAGTAGTACTCGTAGTACTAGTACTAGTAGGCGTAGTCACAGTAGTAGAAGAAGAGGTAATAGTAATAGAAGTAGCGATCATAGTACTAGTCGTACTAATACGCGTAGAAATGCGAATACACCTATGACCGTAAGAAGAGGCGTAGTCGTAGTCAGAGTAGTAGTCATCGTACAAGTGTAGTAGTAGTGGTAGTAGTAGCAGCGTTAGTAGTAACAGTAGTAGTAGTAAACATTGTACTAGTCGTAGTAGTAGTCGTAGTAGTCGTATTAGTAGTAGTAGTAGTAGTAATATGTCGAAGTAATCGTATTCGTAGTATTCGTAGTATTCGTAGTAGTAGTAGTAGTAGTAGCCGTAATAGTAGTAGTAGTAGTAGTAGTAGTAGTAGTAGTAGTAGTAGCCGTAGTAGTAGTAGTAGTAGCAGCAGTAGTAGTAGTAGTAGTAGTAGTAGTAGTAGCCGGAGTAGTAGTAGTAGTAGTAGTAGTAGTAGTAGTGCTAGTAGAAGTAGAAGTCGCAGTAGGAATCGTGAGTGTAATCGCATTCATCGCTGGAGTACTCGCAGTAGTAGTAGTAGTAGTAGTAGTAGTAGTCATAGTAGTAGTAGCAGTAGTAGTAGTAGTAGTAGTGGTAGTAGTAGTAGTAATAGTAGTCGTAGTAATCGTAGTAGTATGAGTAGTGGTAGTCGTAGTAGTAGTAGTAGTAGTACTACTACTACTACGACTAGTACTCGTAGCAGTAGTCGCAGTCGTGGTTGTAAAAAATATTACTATTGTTACTACTACTATTATTAGTATTATGGTTAATAATAGTAGTACGCATCGTAGTAGTAGTAGTAGTAGTCGTCGTCGTCGTAGCAGTAGTAGTAGTAGTAGTAGTAGTAGTGGTAGTCGTAGTAGTAGTAGTAGTAGTAGTAGCAGTAGTAGTAGTAGTAGTAGTAGTCGTAGTAGTAGTAGTAGTAGTAGTAGTAGTAGTTGTAGTAGTAGTATGAATAGTTGTACTCGCCGTCGTCGCCGTAGTAGACATAAGACTCACAGTAATAATTGTAGTAGTAGAAGTGGTAGTGGTAGTAGTAGTAGTAATGCTAGTAGTCGTAGTCCTGGTAATAATGCTGACGGGCCTAGCTTAGTGCGGAAACCGTCCCTTCTCTCGAAGGTTGCTGGGGGCTTCGGAAACAAGCTAAGCAACGGCCGAGTGCCAGGATGCCAAGATAACGCTTGAGGGTGCTTGGTGCGTTCACGTTTCAACGGAAAGGGGGGTTCTTCATGGTTGACCCAGATTATTGCCGCACGGCGCTGTGATCACAGCAACAGGCGCTCAAACTTGTATGGGCGCGGGCCTGTTGGCAGTAATGGCATTTCATACGACTTTGATGCTCACATGATTGGGTCCACAACGCGATCACAAACAGCATACGTCAACATGGGTGGGGCAATTGAAGGGGGGTGAACGAGGCGTGCAGGAAACTTGCTCTGAAGGGCGCCCAAACCTTCTGGGGCCCGGCCCGGCAATGCCACCCTGGCTCGCTCCAAAGTGCTGGAGAGGTGAATCACTCTTCATCCAACGTTGATTTCCCCCCCCGTTGCCGCCCGGTCGGCCTTCTTTTCCTTCTTGTCCCTCTTGTGCTGCCTGTGATCCTTGTTTTCTTCGTCCTCCTCCTCCTCCTCGCGCTCCTCAGCCTGTGGCTCTTGCGCTTCAGCCTCCTCTGCTTGCTGCTCTTTCGCCTCCGCCTAGGAAGTCGGGCGAGACTTCCGATCGTTCATCCCTGCCGCCGAGCGCGCCCCTTCTGGGAGTGGATGACGATTATCAGGAGGGAAAACACACATACACAATCCGTCGTCGACTCCCAAGAAAAGATGGGAAAATATGGAAAGTCGGGGGGAAGACGGAACCCAGAAAACATGGGAACGTATGGGGAATCCTGGGATTCTGTTCATGTATTTGTGTGTGCCAGAGCCCCTTTAGATAAGCAGCCGAATGGAAGGCTGACGAGGGACAGGAGGGCCCAGACCCCCTCGCGTCGTGAAAAGCAGCCCCAACAGAAGCCCAACACTTGCGGACGGCACTGCGTCGATTTCTCGCCGCCGGGGCCGAGGCATGGGACGACGAGGAGAATGACGAGGACAATGCCGAGGAGGACGACGAGGAGGACGAGGAGAATGACGAGGAGGATGACGAGGAGAAAGACGAAGACGCGCAAGGGAACGGATGGCGACGACACCGGTACGCTGTGCAACACTTTCAAGCCGCTTTTCTTCCGCCCCACAGCGGCGGCGACGGCCACTGGGGGGGAGGCGGGGTAACGTCGTGGCAGAACCCTCGTGCCCGCAGCACCGAGCACCGAGCGAGAGGAACGACGACGAAGACGGGAAGCTGCTTACGTGCCTGGGGGGGGCTTGCAAAGGAACCCTAGTGGAGATGATCAAGCTCTGATGAGCCCTCGCTCCTGAGGGGGGAGGAGGAGGTGGAGAAGGAGGAGGAGGAGGAGGAGCAGGAGGAAGAGGAGGAGGAGGAGGAGGAGGAGGAGGAGGAGGAGGAGGAGGAGGAGGAGGAGGAGGAGGAGGGGGGAGGAGGAGTGAGGGAGGAGGGAGGAAGCGAGGAAGAGGAGGAGGAAGAGGGAAAGAGGGGAACATCCCCACCTCCCTCCAACTCCAACTCCCCTCCTCCTCCCCTCGGTGGCCTCGGCAACTCCCGCTCAGCCTCCTCCCGCTCAGGACGAGTCCTCCTCCTCCTCCTCCGCCTTCTCCTCCTCCTCCCTCCCTTCCCTCCATCCCACCTCCCTCCCTCCCTCGCTCCTTCCCTCCTTCCCCCCCTCCCCCCTCCTCTCCCTCCCCCTCCTCCTCCTCCTCCTCCTCCCCCTCTCCTCCTCGCTCCTCGTTCCTCGTTCCTCCCCCTCCTCGCTCCTCGTTCCTCCGCCTCCTCCGCCTCCTCCTCCTCCTCCTCCTCCTCCTCCTCCTCCTCCTTGCTCCTCGTTCCTCCTCCTCCTCCTTCCTCCTCCCCGCCCTGTTCGCGGCGCAGAAAGGGGAACCGCCGAACGACTCAGGACGAGCCCTCCGCCGCACGCGCCCGCGCCTCGGCAGGGGCGGGCCCCCTGCCGCACGCGCTCGCGGCGCGGCAAGCTGTGAGCGCTCCTTGTCTGGATCATGTCTATGAAGGGGCCCTGGGACACACAAATAAATGCACACACACATAAACAGATTTCCCATATTTCCCATATTTCCTGGAACAATGTCTACCCCCCACTTCCCATATTTCCCCATCTGTTCTGGGGAATCGACGATGAATTGTGTCTGTGTGTTTCTTTCCCTCCTGAGCCCACTTCAGACTGCTTCATGTTCCAATCAGCCAGGATGATAAACACAAGGCCCTCGGCCTTGACAAACGCCGCCATGCTGTTGAGAGTATCGATATTTGGGCCTGCTAGCCCAACTCCTGCCCCTCCTGGCGCGTCGCTTCGGGGGCGCACCGATGTCTTCCTCATGTGGCATGCCTGCACACGCCGTCGTGGACGGCGGGCAGCACTGCCTCAACTACCTGGGGTGGGATGCCGCGCGCGGACCTCGCCTGCGGGAAGTGCCTCCTCCTCCTCCTCCTCCTCCTCCTCCTCCTCCTCCGTGTGAGCACTTTGTTACCGGACAACCGGTGCGCCGTCAGAGACGGCGGCGAACCTGCGGAGGGCTCGCGAGATGAACGACCTTCCCAATGCTACACTGCTGCCTTCTGCTCCTGGTCTGATCCTCCTCAGCCTTCTCTCCCACCTCCACCTCCTCTCTTCCTCCACTAATTGCGATGCATCTCCACCTCCTCGACCTCCTCACCCTCCTTAGCTTTCTGTCTCCTTCTTCTCTTCCTCGCCTTTCTGGCCACCTCCTCAGCCTCCTCACTGTCCCCTTCCTCTTCCTCCTCATTCTCTCTTTCTCCACCTCAGCGGTGGCGGTTTTCGTCCTCCTGGGGCTCTTTGCCTGCTCTCCCTCGGCGTCCGTGCGGCGATGTCTCTGATGCAGGATGCATTGCCGGACGCTGGCCATGTAGTGGATCCGCTGTTTGAACTCCTCCACCTCCTTCTTGCTGCGGAGCAGCCTGGTTGGCCAGACCGGCCACTCAGGGTTCGGCGGGATCGCCACGAACCTCCTCCAATGCGCAAGCCTCGGGCATCTCCAGAAGGTGTGCGCTGCATCGTCGTCCTCGTCCAAGTCGCAGCCGAAGCACTTGGGTACCGGAAGCCCCTTGATCTTAGCCAGTCTCGCATTGCTGAAGAACGCGCCCGTGAGGATCGCGATCTCGTGTTCTGACGCCTTCGTCAGCCCCAGCGCCGCACGGATAGCCCGTGGACAATAAGGCGCCTGCGCGTGCCGTCCGGCAGCGCTGTCCCGCCGCGTGCGGCTGCCGAGGAATGTTGTCCACAGCCTCTTTCGCCATACTTCACGAATGAGGTAGTCCCTGGCGTCTTTGGGGCTGGTCAGGGAGATCTCGGCCCCATCTGCCTCTGGAGGGGCTTTCCAGATTACATGGTCCTGGTCGTCCAACATCATTAGAAAGCATAGCTTTCCCATCGCCGCATCCACGGCCTGCATGACCCCGGCGGTCCTTTTGTCCTTCATCCAGAACTGCTTGAAAGCGTCCTCGACGTACGCGGCTCCGCGTCGCCGGATTCTCGCGTCCATCAGCGTCCAGATTCTGTCCAGCAAGCGCAGCGAAAAGTCGGCAGTGTGGCCAACCAGGAGGAGCTGCTGCAGCGGCCTGGCCCTGGACCGCCACTGGTCACCTCTCACCGTTCTCGACAACATAGTGTCCAATCCTTGTCTCTGCTTCTGGGTCGGGCTCCTGAGGACCAAGGGCCACGTGACCGCTGCGAGCACACATGCCCCCGCCAGTTGTCGGAGCTGGTGCGGCTGAAGCGGCAACCTGATCATCCTTTTCGCCTTCCTCGTGCCTTGCTCAATCTTTGTCTGCTCGCGCACTGTCAGCCCTGCACTGGCGCCGATCAAGATCCTCCTCCTCCTCCTCCCCGTTCGTGTGAGCACATGGTCACCGGAAGAATCCCGGTGCGCCGTCTGTGACAGCGGCGAGCCTGCGGAGGGCTCGCGCTATCTTCCCATCACTACACTTCTGTTTTTGCCTCTCCTGGCCTGGTTTTCCTCAGCGCTCTCCCCCTCCGTGACCTCCTCTCCGTCTCTTCTTCTCGTGCTCCTCTGCCTCCTCGATCTCCTGCCCCTCCCCAAATGTCCTGTCTCCTCTGGCGGCCTCCTAGATGGGGTCGGCGCGCATGGTGTCGGAGGATCGCGCCGCATCGCCGATGCGCCGGCAACGTCGGCGAGGCACTGGCGACGTCGGCGTCGAGAAACTCGGCGCTGCAGCGCGATCCCGCGACCCTGTAATAACGGTTTTTTGAAGGCAGATCTGCCTTCAAAAAACCGTTCTTACAGAATTGTTTGAAGGCAGATCTGCCTTCAAAAAACCGTTCTTACAGAGTAGACCAATTTTTTGAAGGCCCCCGAGGCCCGGGTCGGCGCCTTGAGCTTTCTCCTGTACGACCGCATCCTGCGGCTCAAGCGCACGTGCCTGGGCGCCCCCCCCCCTCCCCCCCCCGCCGCGGCAGCCGGCGGCGACGGGGGCGGCGACGGCGTCTCGGCGACGGCGGCGACGATCGTCCCGGCCACGGCTGGATGCCCCTCGGAGCGCAGTCGGCCCGTACCCAGAGATCCAGCGTATTGAAAAAATCAAGACGGAAGTTTTTCGCAATTTTCGGCCTCAAGGGGCCCTCGCCGGGCTCCAGGACCGTCAAAAAACGACTCAGTATGAAAAACCGGTCCTGGAGGATGGGTCGAGACCTCCGGGGACCCCGTATTGAAAAAATCACGACGTCGGATCTCTGGGTAGCAGAAGGATGGGCGACAAGGATGCGAGGGCCCTGGACGCCCAGTGCGAAGCTCTCCGAGCGGGGCGCGGCCAACGAAAGCGGGCAAGGGTGGGCCGAGGAGGCAAGGCTGCACAGGTACCCTTGGGAAGGCTGCCCATCATTACCATGCGTTGGCTGCACTGGTCGGAACGCACCCCTGGACAAATCCAGAAAGGGGAGATCGTTTGACGGGGGACGACGACCACGACAGCGACATTCTGGGAAATTTCGGCGACCCTCGGAAATTTCTGGGGCGTTTCGCAGTCATCCGCCTCGATACCCCCGCTCTCCCGTAATTGTGGGTCCGAGTTCTGACTATGTGACGTGAGGTTTGTCTGACAAGTTTGAGCTCCCCATCTTTCTGCATCTGGGGGATGGCAGCGGTGATGAGGTAAGGAAGGGAACATATCAGGACCACAGATGAGGATGATGAGGGGTGGGAGACATGGAACAATCAACACGACACTACACCCACGCGCGCAACATCATCATGAACATGACTTAGGGCAACAAGCCTTGGGGGCCTGAAATTTCAGGACCACTACAAAGATATCAAGCTGATACTTCCTGTGAGGGTCAACAACAAACATCATATCATCAAACCCGGCTGCGTAGGAGTGTTCGGGCTAACTATTTGGGTGAGGGGATCTGGGCGGGCTCTACGACATGAGACAAACATACCTTCCAGCAATTACAAACCAGCTGAACACACGTACACTAAAACACAGTGCTCAGACATGTATGTATATACATCTGCATAGAGACGAATCCCACCAACTTTCTGGGTGTAGGTGGTCGAACGACTTCTACTCTCTTCCCAACCCCCCTCGTCCCTTCGGGGAGGGGACCCTCCCCTATTCCTCCCTTTGGTTTGTCCGGACTATCCTGTAGCCTTGGGTCCTCGTTTCTTTGAACAGACAGCGCCCCGCGTCCCTCCATCCCTCCCGCCTCCTCCCGCTCCTCCCTCCTCCTGTCCCTGCCTCTGCCCTCGGCACCCCATGTTAGCACATCCCTCACACGTTTCGTGGTCCCGTAGAGACCTCCACCGAATGTCCCACTGGCTGCGCTCGCATGGCACCACCGCGTTCATTTCGGCGCACCTCTCGCACGTTTCGCGGTCCCATAGAGAACTCCACCGAGGGCGCCAGTGGCTGCGCTCGCATGGTACCATCGCGCCCAATCCGGCGCATCCCTCACAGGCTTCGTGGCCCCTAGGCGGAGCTCCATCGAGGGCCCCACTGGCTGCGATCGCATTGAACCACCGCACCCAGTTCGGCGCACCCCTCACAAGTTGCGTGGCCGCATAGGGAGCTTCCCCGAAGGCCCCAGTGGCTGCGCCCACATGGCGCCACCGCGCGCATTTCGGCACATCTCTCACACGTTTCCACCGAAGGCCCCAATGGCAGCGCTCGCATGGCACCACCGCGCCCAGTTTGGCACACCACTCACACGTTTCGTGGCCTAACTCGGGGGCTCCACCCAAGGCCCCACTGGCAGCGCCCGCATGGCACCGCCGCTCCCGTTTCGACACACCCCCTGCTCGTTTCGTCGCCCAACTGGGAGCTCCACCGAATGTCCCAGTGGCTTCGCCCGCATGGCCACACCTCGCCCGTTTCGGCACACCCCTCGCTCGCTTCGTGACCCCAAAGGAAGACGTTTCATCACCCCAAAGGAAGCTCCACCAATAGCGGTCGGTACCCACAACGCGATACTCACAATTTCGGGAGCGGCCAAGAGGGGGGTGTCTAAGAGGGGGGGGTGCAAATCATGACCGGCGGCATGTGCGCGGCCCAGCGGGGGGGCCAGGGACGTAATGAAATAAGAAGAGGCGCCATGAAATCTGAGGAGATATCATGGCCCACGCCATGATATCCCCCCCCCCCTTGTCATCACCCCCCTCTTTTCCGCCCCCGACAATTGCATATGGCTGGGTCTACCGCCCGGATAATTTTGGGGGCCACCCTGACTCCGGATCCGCCCTACTTCGGCTTTTTTTCCAACTTAAAATTGCGTCGGAAATCCACCTATAAGAGGCCGAAAAAGTAGGGCGGAAATTGCTGCACCCAACATAAAATAGGGCGGAAATCCACAGAACTCCCAGGTGGCTCAATATAACCGAAGATGACCCTAGAGGGCGTCCAACATGCTGCGAGAGGCCCAAAGACCGTTCCAAGACGGCTTCAAGTGTTCCTGGAGCCCCCCCAAGGCAGCCCACAAGAGGCCAGACTCCTTGGAGCAAACAAAGTTGGAAGATCTGTGGTTTGTGTTTTCTCGCAATGTCGCCCCCGATGCGCATTTGAACCCTCAAGACGACCCCAAGATGGCCCAAGGGAGCTGGAAAGGGGCCCAAGAGGCTCCCCAAACAGCCCCAGCGCCTCAAGAGGGCACCCAACTTCTAATTTGAGCGCCCCTGACGGGAGGTGAAACTGTGGGACCCCCCTCCGATGAACGATGGCCTCCAAGATGGCCCTACGAGTCCCTCCAGCGCTCCCTAGAGGACCCCGAAAGAGCTCTAAGATGGTTCCAAAGGGGCCCCCAGGCGCCCCAATAGGGCCCCAAGAGGACGCGGACCCCAAGACTCCCTCAAAGAACCCCGAGTTTGCTTTACAACGCGAATTTAATGGGCTACTGAGGGGGAGGGGGGGGCGACCCCCCCTCTTTTTGATCCCTGCTTTCCCTATGGCCCCACGAGGCCCTCCAGGGCCTCCGGAAACAAACAGCACCCCGAAACACCAACAGCAACACCACCACCACCAGCAGCAGCAACACCAGCAACAACACAAGCAGCAGCAGCAATGGTACCAACAACAACAACACCACCAGCAGCATTAGCACCATAAGCAACATCAGCAGCAGCACCAGCAGCGCCAGCTACAACATCAACAACACAAGAAGGTGTACAATCTTAGCCTGGCGGAAGCCCGACCATATGCATGTGTGAATCACGCAGCTGTGTGTACCGTCTCCGGTAAAGCTCCCTATGGGGCCGCGAGGCGTGTGAGGAACGTGCCGAAAAGGGCACGGTGAACGCATGCGAACGCAGCCGCTGGGGACTTCGGTGGGGTCCCCTTATGGGGCCACGAAGGCTGGTGAGGGGTATGCCGAGATTGGTAGGGCGGACGCATGCGAACGCCGCCATTGGGAATTTCGGTGGAGCTCCCTGCGGGGCCGCCAAATGCGTGAAGCGTGTACCCAGATGGGCGGGGCGATGCATGCGAGCACCGCTGCTGGTTCCTTCGGTGGCGCTCCCTGGGGGACAAAGCAACGTGTGACTGGTGACCCGGAACAGGCGGGGAGGACGCATGCGAACACAGCCAATGGGGCGTGGGTTCTCTTGTTGTTATACTTCCCCCGCGATAGTTGCAGCTTGGGAAAAGAACCGCGACGTCCGTGAGCTTGCCACTTGAAGCGCGCAGGCGAGAATGCGAGAGGCGCGAAATTATGAAATGAGGCTGCAACACGGGGAGGTGGGCGGAGGGGGGGGGGGGGCGGACGCCGCAACAAGTTGTCGCCGACCATCTGGCCGCGCGAGGCGGCTGCCGGAACGCGGGCTGCAGGCGGAAATACGTGCAAATATTCGTCCAGCGCCATGGCCAGGAGGAAAGGAGGGGGAGGAGGTTAGGAGGCAAATGCTGGGAGGTTCTCGTCGGAAAGATTGAAGAGGATTAAGCCCCATTTGGGAACTGTTACGCTGGAGTGGGCCTCGGATTAAACGGGACTAAGCGGGATTAAGCGGGACTAAGCGAATTAAACGGGATCAAGCCGGATTAAACCGGATTAAGCCGGACTTCGGGCCACTGCACAATCAGAATTTGACCTCCCAGGAGTTGCATCCCAGAGGAGGGGGAGGGAAGGGGGAACGAAAGGCGAATGATACGAAGTCTATCTACAAAATGTTGCGTCATGGTTGGGCAACAAATTGTCAGTCAATCCCAACCGAATGGCCCACCCGGCTAAATCAATTAACCCCACACACAAAAGAAAATTTGACGGAGGAAGAAGAGGACAGGGACACGCACGACCTCAATCAGTGCGACACCGATACAATATCAGTGACTATCAGCGATTACAAAAACATTCTAGGCAGCGTGCATATTAAACAAGCCAGAGAATACATAATTCACTGGAAGAGCAAAGTCGAGGAGCGAGTAGAGGCATTTCTTGTGATAGCCGTCCCCGAAGAGGGCGGAGGCCGATGGGCGGTCGGAGACGGGTGCAAAGGCACCAGTACTTCCAATGGCCCGCTTGCGCAACGTCCCGCTCCATGGTCACGCACCGTGGTCGAGGTCGTGGCTGGGGTAAAGTAGGAAGAGGTGGTGGATGTAGTTTTAGTGGAGCCCGAACTGGCGTTGGGGGTCGAAGCTGGTGTTGGTGCTGCCAGAGTCGGTGCTGGAAGTCGGCGCCAGCGTCGGTGCTGCTAGTGGCGGTGCCCGCGTCGGTGTCTGCGTCGCAGCTGCTGACGTGGGTGCCGGAGCCAGTGTCGGAATCGATGCTGCTGGCATCGATGTTCTAGTCGGCGTTGGAGTCCATGCTTTGGGCGATCGCGTGAGGGGGGCAGGATTTGTCCGCCTTCGTTTGGTGGAATTTGTGATGGTGGCGATGGTGGTCGCTGGAGCGTACGCATCCGAGGTAGTCGTGGCTCTGGCGGGGGGAGTCGCGGAAC